ACTGGGAAACCACCTCAGGATGTCTTGCTACAAGGCCTGCGGTGGAAGCACTTCCCATGGGTCCTTCACTCTGTCACCACACGAAGTGTGAGGATAGCCCAGCAGACCTTCTTTACTTCCTACCCTAAACAGTGTGCACACTTGGGGAACCTGTGTTCCCCACGGGACCTCCAAGAAGAGGTCCCTCTGCCGTTTCTTAGAGGGCAGCATTTTCTTATTGGCTATGGACCACTTAGGTGACATCTTTCTTGACCAAGTGGCAGAGGAGATGCCTGGGCCTTGCCCCTGCCCTCCATATGAGGTGGATGCAGGTCTGGCCAGCTCCAGGGCCACAGTCACCGCCTTTGGGCAGCTTCCAGTCTGGTCTGGAGGCCGACAGTTGTGGCCCAGTGCAGAGACGGTGGACAGCAAGGTGAGGAGAGCCTTCAAGGTTAGGGACCTTGTAAGAGCTGAGCCTTCTCTCCAGGTGGTGTCTGACAGATGGGGAAACCCTGTCCAGGGTTCTGCAGCCTGGCCGTTCCTTCCACCAGCCACATACGGCTGGCCTTTGGTCTTTCCTAGGTGACGTGTGCCCAAGCTTCAGCTCAGTCTGACAAGAGAGAGGAAGACCTCATTTCACCTCACAACAGGCCATTGGTATCTGGCTCCTTGAACCTCACAAGGAGGAGAATCCTGTTGGTCCCAGGAGTGGAGGCTTCTGGCTGCCCAGGCCACACCTCAGTGCTTCAGACCAGCTCAAGAGGTCGTGCTCCTGACAGCTCCAGGTGGTGGGAACTCACTGAGGAGCCCATAGCCTTTGGGATTTCCCCAACTTGGATGCTTATACAACTCTAAACACTGAGAACTGCAGCCAACCCTGAGACTACTCATGCTCTAGGTCCCTCAGGATCATGATTCTGGGTATGAAAGATCTAGATGTGTGAGCCTGGGTGGCCTGCGACCCCTGTGTATGAAAGGCCATCTCAGTATGAGGCTGGCTTCGCTAAAGGGACTTCAACTCACAGACTCGGGCTGCAACGGCAGTTCCAACAGGGGTCTCACTCTGTGGCCCAGGCTGGAGTGCAGTGGTGTCACCATAGCTCACTGCAGCCTCTAGCTCCTGGACTCAAGTGATCCTCCTGCCTCAGCCTCCTAAGTAGCTGGGACTACAGGTGTAGGCCACCACACCCGGCTAATTCCATTCTTAAGCTTAGACTAAAAAATTCCCAGGAAACATGCTCTGGGGTTTCTTGTGGTATCAAGAACCTAGAAACAACTCAAAAGGCCAACATCAGGAAAATAGATAAATAAAATATAAAGCCACACAGTGCATGCTGTATTAACAGTAAGAATGCATTAACTACACCTACATGCATAACAGATGAATCTATAGTGATATCGAGTAAAGAAAATCTCAGTACTATACCAATAGTTCAAAAAAAGTAAACGTGTTTTTGGCATACATATGTATGTGATAATGTATCCTTAAAAGGGATGATATTAACAGAACATCAAAAGGATCATACCATGACCAAATGGGATTTATCCCTGGGATGCAGAGATGGGTCACCGTAAGACCAATATAGTATCCTACATTAACAAAGGACTGGAAAAAATCACATCATCTCAACAGATGGAGAAAAAGCACTTGACAAAATTCAGCACCCTTTCATGATTAAAAACTCAAAACTAGGAGTAGAGGAAATTACCTCAACATAAAGGCCATGTAGGGAAAGACCACAGCTAACATCACACTCAATGGTGAAAAAGTTTTTCCTCTGAAGATTGGGAACCAGGCAAGGATGCCCACTCTGACCACTTGTATTCCACACAGCACTACAAGTCCTACCCAGAGCAGTTAGGCAAGAAAAAGAAAAGGCATTCAGGCCGGGCGCGGTGGCTCACGCCTGTAATCCTAGCACTCTGGGAGGCCGAGGCGGGTGAATCGCTCAAGGTCAGGAGTTCGAGACCAGCCTGAGCAAGAGCGAGACCCCGTCTCTACTGAAAAATAGAAAGAAATGATTTGGACAACTAAAAATATATAGAAAAAATTAGCCGGGCATGGTGGCACATGCCTGTAGTCCCAGCTACTCAGGAGGCTGAGGCAGAAGGATTGCTTGAGCCCAGGAGTTTGAGGTTGCTGTGAGCTAGGCTGACGCCACGGCACTCACTCTAGCCCGGGCAGCAAAGCGAGACTCTGTCTCAAAAAAACAAAAAAAAAAAAAAAAGAAAAGGCATTCAAATTAGGAAGAAGTAAAATTGCCCGTTTTTAGATGATGTGATCCTATATATAAAAAACCCTAAGGACCCCAAAACAGAACTTAATCATAGAATTACCATTTGACCCAGCAATTCCTCTTCTGGGTATACACCCTAAAGAACTGAAAGCAGAGACAAACAGATGCCTCTACACCAATGTTCATAGCATTATTCACAACACAACAAAAGCCAAAAGATGTAAACAACCCAGTGTCCATCAACAGATGAATGGATTAAATAAGATACGGCATATGTGTACAATGGAATATTAGTCATACAGTGAAATTCTGATACATGCTGCAACATGGATGAATCTTGAAAACATTGTTAAATAAGCCAGAGAAAAAAGACAAATACATGATTCCATTTAGATTGATATCGAGTGCTTATCTAGAATAAGCAAATTTACAGAGACAGAAAGTAGAGTAGAGGTTACCAGGGGCTGGGGAAGGGGGAATGGGGAGTAATTATATAATGGGTACAGAGTTTCTGTTTGGGATGATGAAGAAGTTCCGGAAATGGATAGTGGTGATGGTTGCATAGCACTGTGAATGTATTTAATACCACTGAATTGTACACTTAAAAATGGCTAAAATGATAAATTTTATGTATATTTACCACAGCAAAAAAAATCGAATTTAAAAGGCAAAATTATAAAGCTTTTAGGAGATAGTATAGGTATCTTCAAGGCCTTGGGGGTAAGGAAAAGAGGAATGAATTAAGCTGTTAGGTTCAGGGCCGAGAGAGACACGAAGCCTCATGTGTAGCAAAATGCTGTTTATTTTAAGCATCTGGGTGCAGATGGGTGGAGGGGAAAAGTGTCCAGCAGAGAGAAGGGGAGAGCCTTGGGTTTTATAGAGGGTTTTTCCAGGGGGAGTAAGTGGCCAGAACAGCTGCTTGTCATAAATTCTTTTTCCAACAACCAGCTCCTAGGACCCCTGCCCGAGTCACATCCGTCCTGCGGCTCCCACGTCGTCCTTATCAGGAGAAAGAGGGAGGAGTAAACTCCATCCCTACCAGGGGAAAAGGAATGCTGGCTGCATCTGTCTGTTAGATTTACAATGTCTGGGGACTCTTCAGACTCCTGTGGCTCTTGTTTTACAAACCTAAGCTTTGCATGAACCACATTCTGTCCTATACATACTTTTCAGGTTCCCACCTGGAACAAACCTAACATAATCTATATTTTAACCTTTGTTTGCCATTATTGTGATATAATGGATACTATGCAGCTATGAGAACATTGCTGTTTATCAAAAGACATCACTAAAAGTAAAAAGGCAAGGCACAGGAAGAAAATAAGTGTAATATATATTTTAAAAATATAGTTTCTATAAATTGATAAAAGACAATGGAAAAATGAGCAAAAAGCTCGAATGGGCACTTAAAAAGCACATGAAAAGGTGCTTGCTTTCATTAGCCTTCAGAGAAACACCTTAAAATCACCATGTGACACCCTTACACCCTCACTAGAATGGCAAAAATACAAGACCATGCCAAGCTTGGCGAGGATGTGGAGCAACTGGAACTCTTTTCATACACAGCTGGTGAACATGTAAATTGGTACAATCACGTTGAGAAACTGGCGGTGTCTATTGAAGTTGAAAATGAGGATACCCCACTCCTAGGTATATCCCAACAGGCTACTTGTGTTCATGTCAAGCAGCACTCTTCATAACACCCCACGCTAGAAACAACCCAGATGCCCATCAGCAGTGGGATGGGTGAATGCAGTGGGGTACGATGAGTACCAAAAGGGCAGGAATGGTCTGCCAAGAAGGACGGAGTATTTTAGCATTGACATTGCTTAGACTTCCTGCACGGGATGCTAATGAAAGACAGACTGACTTTAAGTCGGTTCCATTGTATTTTTTTTTTTTTTGAGACAGTCTCACTCTGTCACTTGGGCTAGGGTGCCGTGGCATCAGCCTAGCTCACAGCAACCTCAAACTCCTGGGCTCAAGCGATCCTCCTGCCTTGGCCTCCCAGAGTGCTAGGATTACAGGCGTGAGCCACCGTGCCCAGCCTAACAAAAACATTTGTACCCCATTAATATTTTGAAATTAAAAAAAAAAACTGGAGGTAACCAAAATGTCCAGGATAAATGGATAAGTAAATCTGATACATTTATACAATGGACTACTATACAGCAATCATAATGAAAGAGAATGAGGCCGGGGTGTGGTGGCTCACACCTGTAGTCCCAGCGCTTTGAGAGGCCAAAGTGGGAGGATCACTGAGCCCAGGAGTTGGAGGCTGCAGTGAGCTATTGATCTTACCACTGCACTCCAGCCTGGGCAACAGAGCAAGATCTTGTCTCAAAAAAATAACAATATATGTAAACCTATAAGCACAAACAAACAGGAAAGAGTTAACTGTTCTTGAGTACCTACTATGTGCCAGGTGCCTACCTTAATATCCACAACAACCCACAGGGCTAGTTAATAATAATATGTGTTTTTCAAATACCAGGAAACTGAGGCTTGGTGAGGGCAGCCCCGCCCAGGGTCCCACAGAGCTGGGAGGAGCCCAGGGCAGTTGACACACAGGCTGGCCCAGGGACTCAGGCCTGGGCTGCGGGCCTGGGCAGGCGCCGGGCAGGAGGCTCTGTAACTCCAGCCCCTGCCTGTCCCTCCTTCACCTCTGCTGGGAAGCCCGAGCTCACTCAGGCTGTAACAATGCCTCCCATTCAGCCCTGTCCCAGCTGCCAGGCCTGCAGGCCCGGAGGGGGCCCTCCCACTGGCAACCAGGTTCCTTCCCTGTGCTGTGCCTCCAGGCTGGACTGGCAGTTCGAGGCAGCATGGAGGGGTGAGTCTTTGGGCCCTGATGGTACAAGGGGGGTTCAGAGCAGCTGAGTGGTCTCGGGCAAGTCCCTGCCCCTCTCTGGGCCTCTGAGAGGCTGGCAGACGGGGGCTCTGGGAACTTCCTGGGCCTGAGATTCTCCAAGGGTCTCCCGAGGTGGGTTCTAAGGAAGACAGTGTTTGCGAATGTGGCTGCTCCTGTGCGTTAGTCCCTCAGGGCTTGTCTGAGAGCCCAGCGTCAGCCCTCTGAGCCCTGGATTCTTGTCCCTTCAGGGATCGGTCCCCATGGGTCCCCTCCCTGGCCTGCCATGAGCCACAGCCTTCACCACCAGCTATGGAGAAGGCCACCAACTCCAAGGCAGGGGCTGGACCTTGGCACCCACAGCAGCCTCAACACGAGACAGTGACAATCCCGAGAGCAGGCGGGGGCTGAGGGGTGGGGGGCAGCCCAGGGGTCAAGAGAGGCTGCTCAAAGGCTGTGCATGACGCAGGCTGAGAAGAGGACAATGAACCAGGCGAGTTCGTTTGACACAGGCAGTGAGGAGCAGCTCTGGGCCTGTGCAGGGACGGCACAGCTAGCTATTCCAGGTGCGCTTGAGGTGGTGAGGCAGCCAAGGGAGACACTGACGAATTTGAGCAGACTCCACCTGAGTAATCAGGAGTCAGGACTTTCCATCGAAGGCAATGGGGAGATGCTGGAGGGTTTTCAGCTGGGGGTGTCAGGGTCCCATCTTTGTTTTGGAATGTTCCCTTCGGTTGCTGGGTGGGCAGTGGAGCACAGGGGAGGCCAGGAGAGCCACAGTGGCAGCAGTTGTCCCTAAGGATCAATGGGCAGTAGCTGCAGTTGTGAGGTGAGGGGGTCTGATTAGGGGATGGATGGATGGGTGGATGGGTGAGTGGATGGGCGGATGGATGGGTGGGTGGGTAGATGAGTGGATGGGTGTATGGATGGATGAGTAGGTGGGTGGGTAGATGGACATACCTTCCTCAAAGCACAGCCCCAAACCCATACCCTCAATACCCGCCATTCCAGTCCAGGCTAGCCAGGTAAGGTAAGCCAGCTAAGGTAAACGGAAGACAAAAGGGGAAATAAACACAAAAGAAAGAAGAGGATTGAGCTGCCCACTCACCATGGCAATATGGCTCTGACTAGACCTTAAGGCTCACTCAAGGACCTCAGACCCTACAATACCTGGACCCGCCAGTCTTTTTTTTGAGATAGAGTCTCGCTCTGTTGCCTGGGCTAGAGTGTTGAGGCGTCAGCCTAGCTCACAGCAACCTCAAACTCCTGGGCTCAAGTGATCCTCCTGCCTTAACCTCTTGAGTAGGTGGGACTATAGGCATGTGCCATCACATCTGCCTAATTTTTTCTATTTTTAGTAGAGACGGGGTCTCACTCTTGGTCAGGCTGGTCTTAAACTCCTGACCTCAAGCGATCCTCCCGCCTCGGCCTCCCAGAGTGCTAGGATTACAGGCGTGAGCCACCGCGCCCGGCCGACCAGCAGTCTTGCTTACAACTTGGGCCAAGCCTGGGTCTTTTTCTCCCACTGCCAGGCTGCCTTCTCAACGTGGGCACATTATGCTCCCTCCCGCCAGGAGCTGGCAGTGTATCTGTGTGACAACAGCCTGCTTCTGAGCCTCCCCCTGGACTGGGGGCCTCAGCACAGCCTGGGTACATGCTCTGAACCTGAGTCATTCTTATGTTCAGCAAGTCTTCACTGAGCTGCTGGACAGAGAGTTTTTCTTTTATTCTTTCTTTTTTTTTTCTGGATAAACTTTTAGGCAAATAGGTCTCTTCCCTGAGCCTTGGTTTCCTCCTGAGTGAAACAGGACTGGTAGTAGAACCTCTACTGCACGGCAGGGGGCGGGAGGGTGGCACAGTGAGGCTTAGGGCAATGGTACTTTTCTGAGCCCAAAGAAGGTTTCTGGGGGCAGGAGCTGCACCATGGCTGGGGCTCAGTGAGGGACAGTGTGTGGTCCCTGTGCACAACCAACACTCCCTTCCTCTCCCAGGCCCCAGAGCTCCACCCACATCTCCTTGGTCCTGCTGCTGCTTCTGCTGCTGGGCGCAGCTTGGCAGATAGCTGCCCAACGCTGCCCACAGACCTGCATCTGTGACAACTCCAGGCGGCATGTTGCCTGCCGGCACCAGAACCTTACTGAGGTGCCAAACGCCATCCCTGAGGTCAGCAGGGTGGGAGCATGGGCACAGGGTGGCAGTGAGGCAGGGTATGGGTCAGTGGAAGGAGCCTGGGCTGCCGGCTGGTTCCTTTTCTCTGAGCCTCAGTCTAACATCTGTAAAATGGGAATAATAATAACCAGTAACAGGGAGATACTCTATTTAAAATCCTTACAGTGTGACAAAAATAGGCAGGTGACCTATAGATAAATATTGCATTTATTACAGACCCTGTGGCAGAGAACTGAGGATGTAGCAGGGGAAGATATGGTCTCTGCCCTGTGGAGTCAGGAGCCAGCAGGGGAGAAAAAAAGAAAAGGGGCAGTGATAATACACTGTGAAAAGTGCCACAGTGGGGGATGACAAGTGACTGAGGAGGAAGGCTTCCTGGAGGAGGCGTCAGGGAGCAGGATAAAGAGAAATACAGGAAAGGCGAGGGGAGAAAAGAGTGTTCCAGGTGAGGCAGCAGCACCTCCAAAGGCGGCTCGCTCTGCCTCAGCCTCCGCTTTCCCTCCCACCCGCAGCTGACTCAGCGGCTGGACCTCCGGGGCAACATGCTGAAGGCGATCCCTCCAGCTGCCTTCCAGGACCTGCCCTATCTCACACATCTGGACCTGCGGCACTGTCAGGTGGAGCTGGTGGCCGAGGGCGCCTTCCGTGGCCTGGGCCGCCTGCTCCTGCTCAACCTGGCCTCCAACCGCCTGCGCGCGCTGCCCCAGGAGGCGCTGGACGGGCTGGGCTCCCTGCAGCGGCTGGAGCTGGAGCGGAACATGCTGGAGGAGCTGCGGCCCGGGGCGTTCGGGTCGCTGAGCGCTCTGGCCACGCTGAACCTGGCCCACAACGCCCTGGTCTACCTGCCCGCCATGGCCTTCCAGGGGCTGCTGCGCACCCGCTGGCTGCGGCTGTCCCACAACGCGCTCAGCGTGCTGGCCCCCGAGGCCCTGGCCGGCCTGCCCGCCCTGCGCCGGCTCAGCCTGCACCACAATGAGCTCCAGGCCCTGCCCGGGCCGGCCCTGTCCCAGGCCAGCGGCCTGGCCCGTCTGGAGCTGGGCCACAACCCACTCACCTACGTGGGCGAGGAGGACGCGCTGGCCCTGCCCGGGCTGCGGGAGCTGCTGCTGGACCACGGGGCCCTGCAGGCGCTGGGTCCCAGAGCCTTCGCCCGCTGCCCACGCCTGCACAGCCTCGACCTCCGAGGGAACCAGCTGGAAACGCTGCCCCCGCTGCAGGGCCCGGGCCAGCTGCGCCGGCTGCGGCTGCAGGGGAACCCGCTGTGGTGCGGCTGCCAGGCGCGGCCGCTGCTCCAGTGGCTGGCGCGGGCGCGCATGCGCTCGGATGGCGCGTGCAGAGGCCCGCGGCGCCTGCGAGGAGAGGCCCTGGACGCGCTGCGGCCCTCAGACCTGCGCTGCCCCGGGGACCCGGAGGAGGAGGAGGAGAAGAAGGAGGAGCTGGCAGCTGCCGGGCCCCGAGCCCCTCCGCGCGCCCCCGAGGGGAAGGACCGGGCGGTCGTGCCCTGCCCTCGCGCCTGCGTGTGCGTCCGCGAGTCCCGGCACAGCAGCTGCGAAGGCCGCGGCCTGCAGGCGGTGCCCCGCGGCTTCCCCAACGACACTCAGCTCCTGGACCTGAGGCGGAACCGCTTCCCCTCGGTGCCTCGAGCGGCCTTCCCCGGCTTGGGCCACCTGGTGTCTCTGCACCTGCAACACTGCGGCATCGCAGACATGGAGGCTGGCGCCTTAGCGGGGCTGGGCCGCCTAGTCTACCTCTACCTCTCTGACAACCAGCTGTCAGGCCTCAGCGCTGCTGCCCTGCAAGGGGCCCCACACCTTGGCTACCTGTACCTAGAGCGCAACCGCTTCGTGCAGGTGCCGGGGGCCGCACTGCGCGCCCTGCCAAGACTCTTCTCCCTGCATCTGCAGGACAACATTGTGGATTGCCTAACACCTGCAGATCTGATGGGGACACAGGCCTTACGCTGGCTCTACCTGAGTGGAAACCGTATCACTCGAGTGTCCCCAGGAGCGCTGGGCCCAGCTCTGGAGCTGGAGAAGCTGCACCTGGACAGGAACCAGCTGCGAGAGGTGCCCACTGGGGCCTTGGAGGGGCTGCCTGTCCTCCTGGAGCTAGAGCTCTCCGGGAACCCACTCAGAGCCCTGCGAGATGGGGCCTTCCGGCCTGTGGGCAGGTCACTGCAGCACCTCTTCCTGAACAGCAGTGGCCTGGAGCAGGTATGCACGGGATGTGTATTGGGGTGGGGGAGGTAGCACCATGCCACATGCATCAAGATTCACTCAGCAAGCATTTGCCACCCCCTTGGTGCCAGGTCCTAGGCTGGGCACTGCCCTTGCCCTTAAGGAGCTCAGGTGTGGGTGAAAGGCCAGGCAGAATTCAGTGCCACACAACTAGAGGGCAGCCCAGGGAGGGCACTGCTGGAGTATGGAGGAGGGAGGAACTTGGGGCCATAGGGTCACCTGTTGTTTGTACACACTGAGAGTGCTCAAGAGGTTTTACCATTGTGCAGGGGTTGGGGGTAGTGGGGACTTGAACCATGAACTGGTCATCCAGGTGACTTGGACGGGGCAAGTGCTTTGACATTAGACCAACCTGGGTTTCCACCCAGCACTGCAATTTCTACCTGGGCCATCTTGGGCTCTCCAGCTCCCCCTCTGCTGGGGGAGGATGGGGCTCCCCACCAGACCTGGGGGTGGGAAGGGCCTGCCAGGAGCTCACATCAGGGCCTGGCACCTCCTTGCAGATTTCTCCTGGGGCCTTCTCAGGCCTGGGACCGGAGCTCCAGAGCCTGCACCTGCAGAAGAACCAGCTTCGGGCCCTGCCTCCCCTGCCTGGTCTCAGCCGGCTTGAGCTCATCGACCTCAGTGGCAATCCCTTCCACTGTGATTGCCAGCTGCTCCCGCTGCACAGGTGTGTACCTGCTCCTGGACTTCCAGAGACCCACCAGCTGCTCTCAGTCAACCCCCTGCCATCTCCCTGGGGGGCATCTGTGCCTAGCTGAGCATCTTGGCAGGGCAGGGGCAGGTCCTGTTGGAGCCAGGCATGAATGAGCCCTTTCCAGGGTCACTTATTGCGGTGAGTTAGCTACGCTCCCAGCAAAACATCGGGTCCCTTAGATAGGGATTGTCACAAAGGATAAGAAAATAATAGAAAATGGAAAATAATAGAAATAAAAGAATACACAGAGATGAAGGTATAGTTTTTATAGATTTATAAAGATAAAAGGCAAAGCAGGGGTACTTGGGGGTCCTTACAATATCCCCGTCAATTGTAAGGTCACGAGTGAAGTTTTACATGGGTCTTTATAGGTACAGTGATCAGTTGCCAGGGGTAACATTTACATAATAACCAGTAGTCCGTTTTAGGTTAAAAGTCTTTCAAAAGGCTTCTGTAGATCCCTTAACTAACTCTATCTATGTGAACAAATGATTACAAAATCTTTCAAAGACAAACTTCTAAGTTCTAAGGTAAATTTATCACTCAACAGAAGGGTTAAACAGATATAGTGGCTCCATATTTATCTAGTTATTGCAAATGGAGAGAGGTGATCAGAAGTCAAACAGGAACTGTCCCTTGGGCTAATTGCTTTTAGCCACAAGTGTCTGTCTCTCAGGCCGGCACTGTTCGATCAGCTCTCATCCCGTGGCTCCTAGCAGACCTGCTTTGTCATTCAAAACAGGGGAGAACCACAGGTTTGAGAGCAGCTGCCACTGACCTTTGAGACGCCCTCCCAAGGTGAAGCAGCTTTTGATATGCAAACTAACACATTCACATATTCCTTCAGGGCAAAGCCCTGCAAAACTCTTGAGACCATTTCTGTCTCTACTATGGTAATATTAATTTATGGAGTGACAACTTACCCTCCCTGGAGGGGTTGGGGTGGACTTCTCTGAGCCTGGATTTCGTCATCCATGAAGTAGGAATAATATGTGCCCTGCCTAGGAGACTGGAACCTAATAAATAGGCGTGGTCACTTTACATAATTACGTAAGAAAGCAACAAGAAGCCTGGAGTTCGCAGACCTGGGCTCCCATCCTGGCTCTGTGCTTTTATTAACTTTGGGCAAGCCACATAACCTGTCTGTGCCCATCTGTTAAAAGGGGATGATAGTGTCTATCTCATGATGGTTGTTGTAAGAATGAGTCAGCGTATATGAATTGATTTGAATGGTGTCAGGTATATCTTAAACCTTCTGTAACTGTTTGTTACCGGTTACTGTTATCCCCTTTTTACAGAAAAGGGACCTAAGGCTTGAAGTGGCTTGTAGGTCACATAATTGGTGAGCTGCCAAGCCAGGATTCTCCGCAGAGCCTGCTCTCACTTATGGGACCCCACTGCCCCCAAATTCCCGATGACCCCCTCAATCTCCTCAGGAAAACTCTCAGCCGGGAGTCAGTACGGGGTTCCCCAAGCTCTCTTTTCTCTTCAGGTGGCTTGCTGGGTTGAACCTGCAGGTGGGGGCCACCTGTGCCACCCCTCCCACTGCCCGGGGCCAGAGGGTGAAGGCTGCAGCTGCCGTCTTTCAAGCCTGCACAGGCTGGGCTGCCAGGAAGGCCAAGCGGACACCTGCCTCCAGGTCCGGCTCCAGGAGAGCCCCCATCAAGGGAAGACAGCCAGGGTCAGAAAAGGTGGGCCATGGGGCAAGACTTCCGTGGGAGGGCCACATCTCACAGCCCCTGGGTAGCAGAGGTCCTGATGCATGTGGTTCCATAGCTGGGCAACAGCCTGGTTGTGTGTTTTCAATAATGTCCGACCTCCTCTCCTCACCTGTGGACTGGACCTGGGGTGAGTTTGTAAAGAAATAACTACGTGCTATTTTTTTTCGGCAGCGGGGAATGAGTCTCACTCTGTCACTCAGGCTGGAGTGCAGTGGCATCCTCATAGCTCATTGCAGCCTTGAACTCCTGGGCTCAGGTGATCCTCCCATCTTGGCCTCCCAAAGTGCTAGGATTACAGGTTTGAGCCACTGTGCCTGGCCAACTATGTGCTATTTCAGTGTGACAGTGGCTTTTCTTATAAGCCACAGCATACTGGTCCCAGTGTGTCCCTAAAGCCAATCCTGCTGTTACTGTATTGGCTAGATCACTATTGACTCGACCATTTCCAACCCCGACCTCAAGGGCCCTGGTCCAGCGATGGGGAGAGTGAAGTGCAGGCGTGTTGTTGGCTCTGCCTCCCGTGCCTACCCCATCAGCCACAGGGTGGGCCCCACCTGACGTGTTCACCATCCTGACATATTCACCATCCTGACATATTCAGCCTCGGCTTGAACCCTCAGTTGTAGCAGACCCTCATAGCACATCAGAGAAGGGGGAGCAGGACAGGGACGCCCCTGCACGTGGGAACAACTGCTGGTAAGGCCATGGGGGGCGGTCTGAGGAGGAGAGGCAGCCCTTAGAGGGAAACTAGAATGGAGAAAGCGGGAGTAGGAAGGTGGGGAGAGGGCTCTGCCTCACCCTGGACCTGCATTTTGAAGAGTTGGGGTGCTGGCAGTTTGATTGTGTTAGTTCCCTAGGGCTGCCACAACAAAGTGCCAGGAACTGGGTGGCTTAGAACAAAACCATATTGTCTCGCAGTTCTGTAGGCTAGAAGTTGGAAGGCAAGGTCAGGTGGCAGCAGGGCCGTGCTCTCTGAAACCTGCAGTGTAAGGATCCTTCCCTGCCTCTTCCAGCTTCTGGGGGCCCCAGACATCCCTTGATTTGTGGCAGCATAATCCCAAGCTCTGCCTCCATCTCTGCATGCGTCCTGTGTCACTTATGTCGTCTTCCCTCTCTAATCTGTCTCTGCCCAAATTTCCTTTTTATAAGGATACCAGTCATACTGGATTAGGGCCCAACCTAACGAGCTCATATTAACTTCATTACCTCTGTGAAGACCCTATTTCCAAATAAGATCATACCTGAGGTTCTGGGGGTTAGGACTCCACATCTGTTTTCAGGAGAGACACAATTCAACCCACACTGGTGCTTTCTCCCTGCATCAGCCCCAGGGAAGCTCACGTAGGTGCTGAGCCAGGCTCAGGAGTAGATGCGCCAGTGAGTCCCCTCCCAGATCGGGGCTGTAGTTACAAGGGGAAGACACCCCCAGCCTCCGCCCACAGTACGGTGGCTTCAGCAGGAATCAGGATCTCTCAGACCATTTGATCCAGTCACCCTTTCTGACCCGGTGATACCCCTCAGTGCCAGCCCTGGGGTTCTGGGTTATTGGGCGAAGGTGGCAGTTTCCTCCCGGGAATACAGAGGAATTGAAGGCCAAGGGCCCTCATCTTGAGGGCTTCACACTGGCAGAGTATCCCGGCCACGTCTGCCTCACTCTCCGCCAGGCCCCGCTGTCCAGCCTGGTGTCGGGCATGTGAAACGTGCTCGGTGATGCTGACTGACTGCGCACGGGTGGTAATCAGTAGGCCAGACTAGGCTTAACCCGCTGCTGTCCTTCAACAGTTGTGAACTGAGGCGGCCAAGCCACTACACCTCACTGAGCCTTCCTTTCTCTCTTCTGTGGAACGAGGTCAACATGTACCTCACAGAGTAACTGACGGTGAACTGAGCAGTGTACATACGTATTTAATCTGGTGCCTGGCGTCTGAGGCTCTTGCAGCAAAGTTCCCTTGCTCCCCTGTCCCCTGATTGCAAAGGATGAGGGCTGCAGGGTGGCTTGCTGCAGCGCTTGGATTTGCTCTAATCTGCATCGGGGGTCCCTGTGGGTTCTCATGCAGGGCAAGCAGGGAGTAGGAGGGTTTTGTAGGATAATGTCTCCCAGCCAGTGACCCCACTGCTGGGAGACTCAAGAAGACCTTTAGTTCCAGCCAAGGGCAAATTGAGGCACAAGGTCCATTCTCTGCCTAGAGTAGAAATTTCCAAGAGGTTAATATTTCCATCTTTGACAAATCAAAGTGACCTTTAGGCACGAGCAACACAACAGTCACGTATGTGCTTCCATTTCACAAACGCTCATCAAAGCCATCTTTCTACCAGGCCTGTGCTGGGCATTAGGGACAGGAAAGACACAGGCTCTGCCTGTAGGGAATGCATAGTCTTGGGAAGGAGAATGGCAGAATGTAAATAAGGACAATACAATATGGTTAAGAAGATGGGGTGCTCAAGAGCTCATGACCGAAGATATTTACTTTTTTTTGGAGACAGAGTCTTACTCTGTCGCCCAGGCTAGAGTGCAGTGGCATCATGATTGCTCATTGCTACCTCCAACTCCTGGGCTCAAGCAGTCCTCCTGCCTCAGCCTCCCGAGTAGCTGGGACTATAGGCTCACGCCATTACACCTGGCTTATTTTCTATATTTAGTAGAGACGGGGTCTCACTCTTGCTCAGGCTTGTCTCGAACTCCTGAGCTCAAGTGAGCCTCCCGCCTCAGCCTCTCAGAGTGTTAGGATTATAGGCGTGAGCCACTGTGCCTGGCTTATTCTTTATTGCTTTGTACGCTCTTCATGTATTGACTCATTTAGTCTTCACAACTGATACTGAGGTATGTCAGAATACGCTCTGCAAGGAACAGAAATCTGACAAGTTGGACTTTGGCAAGTAAGGGATTTAATTTCTCATATGTAGCCTGGGGAGGCCAGCCCAGGGCTGGAATAGCCAAACATGTCCTCCAGCTCTGCCATCCTCCTCCTGGGGCTTTTGTGCTCATGGCACCTCTGGGGATGGCTGCTTCATTCAGGAAGGCCAAAATGGCATACAAACCCAGCTCTCCCAGAAGCCCTTCAGTCAGAACTGGATCCCTTAACCGCCAGGTAATCTGAGACGATGAATTGTCTTTAGCTGGGCTCTGTGCGCAGGCAGCAGAGCCAAAGTGCACACCTTGGCCATCCTCCTGCCGATGTCCTGCCCTGGGGGCTCATGCAACTGACCTGTCACCACCTGAGTCTCGGAGCCGAGAGGAATGTATGTGATGGCAGGGGATGAATGGCCCCTCTGAACTGAAACCTGCCTCACTCCTGTGGTCTTCACAGTTTCAAACTTATTTACCTTTTGAGGAAATCAGGACCAACAGGCTACTTTCTTCTTTTTTTTTTTGAGACGGAGTCTCGCTCCGTCACCTGGGGTAGAGTTTTGTGGCGTCAGCCTAGCTCACAGCAACCTCAAACTAATGGGCTCAAGCGACCCTCCTGCCTCAGCCTCCCGAGTTGCTGGGACTACAGGCATGCACCACCGTGCCCGGCTAATTTTTCTATTTTTAGTAGAGTCGGGGACTCGCTCTTGCTCAGGCTGGTCTCGAACTCCTGAGCTCAAACAATCCTCCCGCCTCGGGCTCCCAGAGTGCTAGGATTACAGGTGTGAGCCACTGGCCTGGCCAAACTTTCTAGGTCTTGTTTCTGCATGGTGGGGGGTACCCCCTGCCTTTGCTAAAGATAGAGATAGAATCAAGTTCTCTCTGAACCTGCCCAGAAATACCCAGGGCTGTGATGATTGGAAACCTGCACCCTCACCTCAGGGGTGAACCCAAACAGCCTGGGTCCTGAGCAAACCTACAGTTAGCACGTCTTAGCAAGCAGCAGACGCGGGCAGCCCAACAGACCAGTACACAGGCCAGCTGCACACACAGGCTCGAGCAACAGCAGACCTAGAAGGCAGCTGCACGTGGCAACGCTGCTGCAGTCCTTGCAGAACGACATAGGGACCCACCCAGCACTGCCTCTATCTGAAAACCTGAGGAATGCAGCCTGCCCCCACCTTAGGCTCCAGGAAGACGTGTTACTAAAGAGATGGGGTAGATCAGACATGAGAGTGTCAAGGGAGACTGGGAAAAATAAAAGCAGATGAAATTTGGGCACATACTACATGAACTTCTAGAATGTAATTTCAGAAAGGAGTGGGGAGAAAAGAAATATGTTGAGTCGAGAAGGACTTGGGCAGAAAGGAGAAGTGAGCCAGGAAGTGTATGGTTAACCCTCTCTCCTTCTTTCCCTCCCTCCCAGAGGTGCTGGCAAAAGGGGACAAGAGTCTCCTTCAGGGCCACCTCAGCCAGCACGGCTAACCACGTCCTGTGTCAAAGCCCCATGATTCTCTGGCAGGGCCATACTTGACCCTGGTTATCAGAGAGAAGTGGAATGACAGTGACAGGTCTAACCAAGCTACAAAGACTGAGCTTACCTTGCCATCCTGCTATCCTGGCAGGGAATGGCCTGTTCTGACCACCTTCTGCACTGAGTCAACCCCAAGTGGCACCAGGCCCCTGCCACTGTTCCTTTTACGAAATGGGAGTCAATGCTCATGCCAACAGAGAAAATAGGCCAAGGCCACCTCACAAGTCACCAAAACCCGCATCCTGGTCACTATTTCTCAGCTGCCTCCTTAAGCTGGGTTCCTGCATGGGTCCACAACGTCCCTAGGGTGCCAGGAGGAGCAGAGCACCAGGAGGCAGAGACACATTTGGCCTGGTTCATTTTTTAGGCAGAGGCTGCTCCCGTCATACTGCTTACTGTCAATCAGAGGACCTTATCCCGCTCAGAGAGCTGCTCCAGAACTTTATTTACATGAACTTGCTTGGGCAAACACACAGTTCACTGTCTTGTCTTCCAGTGGGACGGGGGCAGCCCACCCCTGGCAGTTGAGGGGTGTGGTGGGGGTGGAGGGTGCTCCTCTGAGGAGGAGCAGAGAGCCCGGGCAGGGGACATTCCAGCTTCAGGAGCTCAGGCTGGAGAGGAGGCGTTCACAGATGAGTTTGGGGACCTCAGGTCACGTGGGCCTTGCCATGAGGAGTAAAGAGGCAGGAGGCAGGTCAAAGGAGCCCCATGCTGGTCCTTCCATGCTCAACCTTCACGCACCAGGCAGAAGTTACGCACAAAGGTTTAGTCTCCAAACTAAAGGGGGTAGAGGGACAGTGGCCACAGAGGGCCTTCCCTCTGCTCCATAGCCCTCGGTTGGCTTCTGGTTAGGGGCCTGGCTGGCAGCAGAAGGCTCAGTCTTCTGTCTCCTGCTTGATGTTCTCAGTGGAGACAGGCATCTCTGAACTTGGAGTCTTGTCAGGCGAGGCCACGTCTAGATGCTCTTCCTTTACTTGCACAGCAATGACTGGAGAGGGAGGGGAGGTGGGAGGGTGGCATGGAGAATAAGCCTATAACTCAGGGAAGGGCGGGGAGCAGGACCTGGGAGAGGGATCTGGTCCCTACAGATGGGGGCCCTCAGGACACACCTTCACCCTCCTGCTTGACCTCTGAGAGGGCAGCAGCAGCAAAGGCCCAGGGCCCCAGGACACCTCAAGCCAGGCAGGCTGTGCCAGAGACACTGACATTGACCAATGTGCCACCCCTGCCCAGCACACTGGGTGGGGACAGAGATGGAGGAGGAGGAAGAAACGGCCAGGGAGCCTGGCTGGATGGAGACTGCTCTGTTCAGAGTTGGTGGGGGTGGGTGGGAAGCTCTCCAGGCCCAGTGGTTCAGGGCTGCTTGGTGCCCAGAAAATTCCCACCAAACTTGACTCTACTCTTTTGTGCCCAGGTTGGGAAGAAGAGGGGCCGCCTCTGAGCACAGAGCAGGCTGGTCCTGCCTCGACCCAGCCTAGTGGCTCTTACTCTCGTCTGAAATGGGCTCTGATGAGATCTTCCCTGCAGCCTGCAGGTCGTCCTCCAGCAGGGGCTTCTTGGACCCCTGTCTGAGGGGCCGCGTCTTGGTCGGAGGGATTCTTTTCCCTTTGAATAAAAATGGATTCAAACCGAGCATTAAGGTTGTACCTACGTGAGGCCTGAAGAGCTGGGTCTCGTCCAGTGGTCAGGTGGTGTGGCAGAGGGGAAAGTGCCGGTCTGGGGACAGAAGGCCTGGACTCCAGCTCTGACAACACCCCTGACTGGCTGTGTGCCCTGAGGTCAGAGAGGCCCTCTCCAGTGGGGGATTAATGACAACACCTCCATCGAGAGCCAAGGCTTAGAGCCATCGTGGTTGTTAGTTTCCTTTTTCAGTCTTTGATTTCTTCCTGTAACATGCAACATTCCTGGCCCTGCTGTTCTCAACGGCACAGGGCCTCTGCCCACCTGACAAACACTATACGATCACTCAATCTTAATCGTGCCCGGGGACCTTGTCCTTGTTTCTGCTTTGTCCTGTTTCAGGACATCCTCTTCCTTGCATGGTGCCATGTGGTAGTGACCACCTTGCCATCACTGGCCTGGGCTCTGGAGCACAGCTTTGCCCCCTCCCCCTCTGCTGTCCCTCAAGCTGAGCCCACACTGGGCTCAGGATCGGTTGAGAGTGAGCCCCTGAGTGCCAGGTGGAGTCTAGCCATTCAGCAGCCTGCCTTGGGTTCCACCCTCAAGGAGGTCGCGAGGGAAGAATGACAGCCTTATGAAGAAAACTTCTATTTCTTCCTGTGCCTTTTCCTTTAGAACCTACCAGCTGCGGATTGCCCAAGAGGCCAGGCCATTTTCTGACCCTGGGGCAGCAGGAATGGGAATCCCTGCAACCTCACTCTCAGATACGATCTCCTCTCTCTTCCTCGGCATCCAGACCCTGCCACAAACTGAACACCCCTGTTTACACTCTGGATCCCCAAAGACACAGGGTGAAAGACCCATGGGGCCAAAGGGCAAGGGAGAGGAGACAGGGCAGGACCGTGAAGAGAGCTACGTTGGCAGGACAGCATCTCGGAACCAGTGCCGTGGGGCTGACCCCACCTCTGCTCTGGGTCCCACACCAGCCTGGCCGATTTGGAGCATCACTTACTTTTCTTCCCAAACTGTTTCTTTTTCTTCTTTGTGGCCTCTTTGGCCTTCAGAGGTGTGGTTGGTTCTGTTGTTGAAAGACAGGGCAAGAGAGATGAGAAGAGAGTTCTGGGAGGACACAGGGCACAGGTGCATCCTGAGACCCTTTCCGCCCTCACACAGGACACCCCAAGAAGGGAAGCCAAAGCTGGGCAATGAGAACAGGTGGGACTGGGGAGAGAGGCTGGAGAGTAACTGTCCCTTCTTCCCACCCTCGTCGCTAGGGCTGCTCAGAGGGACCTGGGTAGTTTACCTGGGTGCACAAGGGCACGAGCATATGACAGAGTGGGCAAGATGAAGGAAGGAGCTCTGCAGGCCAGAGGGAGAGGGAGACAGAGAAGTCAGGAGCAGGGGGGCAGACAGGGCTCCCTCCTCACACAGAGTGGTCCATGAGACTTCTTGATCTCATGCCAAAGAGGTAAGTGGGCACAGGGGAGGGGGCAAGAAGGAAAAAAGAAGAGGAAGGAAAGTCAAGAGCCCCTTAAAGCTGAGAGCGCCCACACCTGCGGCCACAGGTGGCTGGAGCTGGTAGCCGGTAAGCTCACACCAGCCGACGGGGTAGATGTCCGGGGACTCGCAGTCTACCCACTGGTCGTACTCGCTGTCCCAGCCATCAAAGTGGATGCTGAGGAGCCGATGCACCACCCGTTTCACTGTGGCCACGCAGATGAGCCGGGGCTCCATCAGGTCCACAGCCTCCAGCTTCATGCCCACCTTGAAGCCATGGTTGGGACAGTCCTAGGTGAGGGAAGAAGGCAGTTGCCAAGCCAGTCAGCTCCCTGCCCCAGCGGGCTTGCCTGGGCCGGCTTGAGTCGGGGGATGCTGGCAAAACTGGGGGAGGGAGAGGGACTGACACTAGAATGCCTGCTGGGGCAGGTTCCTCTGGACAACATCCCACGGCTGCTCTTTCCCAAGCATGAGCCCCTCTATGGAAAGAGAGTGGAGTGCCCATGTCACAGTGTGGGACTTCTCCCCTGGAAGTAGCTGATGAGAAGGGTTTGGAATTGCTCCTGTTCACAGCATTGGGCAGGGCCGGTCCCCAGGCTGCTGCAGGCCCTTGCTCTGTGCTCGGTCTCCTCACCATGTTGAAGAGCCTCGATGGAGCAGCTTTCGACTTGGTCTTCTCCAAGTAGTTCTCCCAGTTGAAAGTCTGTGTCTCATACCCTGGAGGAGCAAAAAACTCAGATGCACAGGGAGAGGAGGGGAAGTGAAAAGCAGGTTGGGGGAAACGAACACGCTGCCAAAGGGGTGCTGCGGCTTGGTCAAGGCTCAGCCTGGAGTCTCCCCATAGCCTTCTTCCCTTGTCCCCAGGCTGGTACCTATTCTAGGACCATGGTCCTATTGTGCAGGTTGTTCACTGCCCAAAGGGACAAGTGGGAACTCTGCTCACCAACCACACACCAACCATGGGGCTGAGTCAGCCTGGGCAGTTTAAGGGCTAGTGGTGACCCTGGGTGGCTCTGTCACCTCTCCAATAAATCCTGAAAACTCACACCCCAGGGGTCTGACTTGACTAGGAACCCTAGCCTGTGGCCTCACCTGCCCCTTCTGACTGCAAGGCCAGCATGTGGTGGCCTATCGCCTTACCTTTCGGGGGTGTGAGCTCAATGTCATTCTTCTGGCAGAAGGCGGCTGGGAAGATGGCATGGGAGGAGGCGTGGTAGCAGAACCAGTCCGAGCCATCTGTGGAGGGCCCCCCGTCCACACAGATCATTAGGTAGCCGTCCAGGAGAACCTAGCGAGGGGTAGGGCAGATGGAGCATCGTGTCATGAACTGCACCCCACCCAGAGTAAGGCAGCTATAACGGGGACATGAGGCAGAAGGGTCCAGTGGATCTGGAGCTCAGCCTTCCCGGAGAACGCCCTAAGCTTATGCACACTGAGGGTATTTATCCTCCCTGCTGGACAGCAAATGCCGAGCCAGCAGGGACTGTCTCAGTGCCTGTGTGTTCTGAGGGTGGGCACACGCGCCTGGCAGGGAGCAGATGTGCTGAACGGACACATCAGCAGTGTCCTCCGAAGGGCCAAAGGCAGGGTGGTCGTGTGCTACTCAGGCTGCGGCAATAACGAAGGAGAAGTGGAGCAAAGTGAGCCCGGGTGGGGTCTTGGCAGCTAGGCCAGCACTCAAAGGACATGGCACGTGGCAGGCAGGCTCTCGGTGAGGTGACACCTGATACAGGACCAGGTTCGGGTGTTCAATAAGCACCGTCCAGTGCGCCTCAGACCCTGACACAAAAGCAGATTCTGAGCAAGGAGCAGGTAAGGCCCCTCCTCACAGAAATCAGGTCCTCCAGGAGCACCCAGCACTGGGGGGGTGGGATGGACGAGCTGCAGTCCCAAGAGCCCGACAGTGGATGGCAGAGCTCTGCACCATGTCGGCCCCCTCAGAGGCCAGCCCCAGGTCACCTTGCAGATGGTTGCCACACAGATGTTGCCCAGATTCAGGGGGTCAATGGCCTCCAGCTTCATCCCCTCCTCAAACCAGCCGCCTTCCGTGTAGACAGCCCGTACCTAGAAGGAACGGGGTGGCTGGGGAGTCCCTGGGTGGGTGCAGGGGAAGATGGAGGGGAGCAGGCCTCACCTGCCATAGGCCTGGGAAGGAAATGGGGAGGGAAAGGGACAGTCCCAGGGAAGAGCCAGGGTCCTTAGGCCTGGAATCGACCTATGGCCAAAGGGAAGAGAACCCAAGGGCTGTGCCTCACCTTCTTGAACAGGTAAGGAACGGCATCACAGTAGATTTTCCGGAAGGTGGGATGATGGGCCATGTCGCTTCGCCTCTCTTTTGAGGGATGGCAGAGGGAGTGAGGAAGAGAAGGGAGTTGAAGGCAGCTAACTGGGCCAACTCCACACCTCCCGTGTGCATAAGGGGCTGCTGTGCATGTGCTCGAGGCTGTATCTCAGCACCTGCCACCCCAGACCAGCAGACAGATGGGTCTAGCCCAGAAAACATCAGGAGCTCTCTGTAGGGACTATTCAGCCTCGAGACCCAGACTCTTCCTGCATGACGTGGGAGAGGATTGGAGCTAGGAGCATCTGGGTTCAACTCTTGACTTTACCACTCACAACTTGAGCTGAGTGACCTCGGTCAAGTCTCTCAACCTCTCTGGTGCTCAGCACTGTCACCTGCAGAGTGCAGATGATAACCTACCTCCCAGCACTGTCACGAGGTATGGGGAAGGTGCTCCCACCCAATCCTTGCGAAGCAAAACCTAGGGCCACTACTCACCTGACATCTTGATGCCGTGGCCAACACGCCGTGACCAACCAACTGGGTGGATCAGGGGGCTCCACATATGGCACCAGAAGTCATCATCACTGTCGCCATCCTCGTAAAGGAGCCGCAGGCGACCCCCAATTACTGTGTCTACCACAGCCATGCGGGTCCGTGATACCTGGGACTTGTCCACCACCTCTAGCCGCATGCCCTGCCGAAAGGGGTACTTCATGCTCTCCACCATCTGCAACGACATCAGAACACAGGCCTGCTGTGACCATGGGGCTCCTTGCACATCCCCCTTCCTGTTCTGTCTCTTCAAAGAACGGAACGTAGAGGACAAGGAAAATACGGCAGAGTTATCCCACACCAAGCCAGGAGGCAGGCAGGTGGGTACTCCTGTGCCACTGGGTTCACCTTGGCCCTAATTCCCCAAGATGACGTAGAGGGAAAGCACGTGGCTCATGAGTGTGCCGCTTCTCATCACCAAAACGCCAGTAAGTCAAGACACTGCAAATCACGAACCCATTTTAGACCAAAGAAACTCATGACCCAGAGAGGTCAAGCAATTTGCCCAGAGTTGCAGAGACTCTTCAGTGCCAGAGCTGGGCTTCGAACCTGGTGTCCAACCTGTGATCTTCACAGGCTCTGCACTCTGATCCCCGGGCACCCTGCACTCCCCTCTACCTCCCAGCCCTCTGTTGAGGGCACATGCAAGACTCATGTCCAGAAAACTGAGTCCCCTTGTGTC